TGTCATGGTGGGGTTTCTCTCCAGTGTCCAGAAACATGCTGAGGTGAATTGGAGTTGCCAAAGAGGCCATGGGCATGAATGGTATGTGTACCCTGTGGTGGTTTGGCTTCCCCTCCTGGGTCATTCCTTGTCTAAATCTTCTCTGACTTAATGCACTGGTCATGGGTTCAGATCCCTTTACTGTAAATTGGATAAAATCATCCAGTTGTTGTGTGGGTTTTTGGAAGGGGGTGATATGGACCTTCCATCCCGCCCTTATTGTCCATCAGCAGTCATACTAGGACCCTCTCTTGGAGGCTGCGGTCTCCCCTGTGTGTTCTTTTGTATTTTTCTCTTTCTTTGTTACGTTAATCCACTGCTGACACATACTGTGGCATCTGGTACAACTTACTGCACGTGCACATATCAGATGTCGGCACCTTAATGAATGTCCTGTATGGTGTAATATGACTACGGTCCTGCAGTCTAGCTACGCTCCATCGTTAGGACTTGCTTCACACTTAATGCGCTGCGTATCGGTGTGTAAATTGCTCTGGATGGGAGGGTCAACCAAAACTTCTTCTAAAATTCTTTCTGTAACTACCGTCATTACCCAAGACTGCGACTGCTTTGGCATGAAAGTTCGCTCGTCTCATTCGCCTGTGCAGTGAACCCGTACAGAACTTGACTCTTTGCCATTTTTGAATCTGCCTGATTCAACTCATCAGATATTTCACTTGCTTATTGTGTTCTTGTCTGGCTGCTTTTTTGTGTATAGTCAAGTCTGCAGATGAGGCTCTCTCGTTTAGGGTTGAGCATTTCCTCCTGTAGGGGGTGCCGAGCACAAGGGGTATCCTGCTGCTGTCCTCTCATACAGCGATGGGGATGGTGAGCAGATGAGGCCTCTCAGGCAAGAACTGACAAAGCACAGAGCAGACGTCTATACAGCGCCTACGCACAAGCCAACGATGAGTCAACAAGGACAACAAAGGTTAATCTAATGACAACTCAACCAAGTCTAATGGCAGGAAGCAGAAGCCAGCTAAAGAAAGGTGGACAGGGACTGTGAAAAGCAGAATGTTCATGTGGTCTTTGACCTACCTCTGTTCTCGATCTTATGTTTTTGAATTTAACCCGGCATTTGTGGGCATCCCTCTCATAGCGTGACTGGCAGGTGCTGGGGTGTGACATGTGGTCTCTGATGTCGTATGATGTCATCGGCATGTTTAATGACATGCTGCTTAATAGCTAAACTCACTCGCCACTTTTTGTTTTTTTTTAGAAATTGAGGCGAAGGAGGCATGTGACTGGCTGCGAGCGGCGGGATTTCCCCAGTACGCCCATCTGTACGAAGGTAAGCACTGCGAGCGGCTGATCTGCATCACCTCATCGCTGTCCGGTCCTGTGCAGCAGGGGGTGTTGGTGAGCAGGGTCTTTCTGAAGGTCTAGGGCAGGGCTCTTCAAATCTGGACCTCGATTCCAAATCCAGGCCGTGTTTTCAGTTCTCCCAGGTAGTTAGTTTAATAATTACTGATTCTGATTGGTCAGAGGCTTCACACCTGGCTCACAGGTAAAGGAAGGCTGGAAAACCAGCAGTGCTCGGACCTCGAGGACCGTGATTTGAATAATAGGGGTCTAGGGCATGTTCCTCCCTGTACTGTAAGCAATATAATGCAAAGAAAAGGTGTAGCTAAAGCCAACCATTCTATTAAATCTTACCAATTCCCCAAATAATTTAATAAAGACAGGCTGACTTTTTCTGCTGCTTTTTGTATTTTGAATATTATGATTCCTTGTCCTCCCCCATGCCACAAACACTATGTAACAGGCCTAGTGCCCCCAATTCCTGAGTATACAGCAGTTGTCCATCCAGAAAAATGGAGACCCTAAAAATTGGCCCAGTTTACTATGCAGAACAGATCATTTTACAGCTGTTATAGACAGAGAAAAGATCTCCACCTTCAAGTGTTGAGCACTGGAAAAGAAAAAAAAAAAGTGTTGAGCACTGAACCAGCAATAAGCAAGTAGCGCAAAAGCTGATGTAGTAATACTGAGGAAAAAAAGTAATGACAGATCGAGGCCGGCCTTTCATCACAGTTATCATTTTTGGAAGAAAACAGGCATGACCACCCCCCCCCTGCCTTTTCTGGAATGGAATGACCCACTTTGCTGCAGAGTACACTGCATTTACACAGCTGCGTACAGGCTGACTGCAAGCTGGGCCTGCTTCCAGCTTGCCTGGGGAAGGGGGTGTCGAGAGCTATTTCCAGGCTTGAGTTACTACTCAATGGGGGGGGGGGGAGCATGGGAAAAGGCCTTTGTTGACCGCAGGCCCTCCTTGTAGACCACGCTGACCTCCTATGCCCAGGCTGGTCAGTGGGTCATGGGTTTATAAGTCTCTCCGCCAGGAATTATGGGTAAAAATGCAAGGTCGGTGGCCAGTAGTTTTCACCCATGCTCACATTCATTTACATGTCTGTCTGTATACGTGAACATATATTTCCATGCAAAATTAAAATTTCCGGGGAGTTGAGCTTTTAAGAGGTCCCGCGAAGGACTGAACTGGCATTTACGGTGTTTAGCTAAGCCGAGACGTATTTGGAAAAGATCCGGAACCACAATGACCAGAACGACAGCCGTCTAAAAATGACTAGAAATGGGTTAGAGGCTGTGAGGCCCAGTGGTCCCAGACTCAGGCATGCTGGGAAAGGCTAGACCCGCACAGCGAGCGTACCCACAGACCTCCACGGGGGCCTGTTGCAGGATGGCATTAGCGGTGCCTTATAAAGGCAATGGAATGCCAGTGGCGGCAGTTGTGGACCTGCCCTCCCACCAACTGTCACGTAAGCAAAAGGTGGCGGCTGAGGGGCGTGGCCTGTCCATACACACGCGCTGCCGGAGCAAGGCTGCTGGCTCCCTGCTGTGCCTTGCATCCAAAACAGATCCACTAATCTCGCCTCTTCCCGGAATGGCCACGAGGGATTAAAGGGCTCCAATGAAAAACCACAGGATAGCCCAGGTCGTTACTTTTAGCTGCCTTTACGATATTTATTTGTGTTGGGTGTTGCCCGGATGTTTCGTCCGCAGCTTCCACGATTCAGTTCCAACTTAGACGGTTTCTCGGTTGGCCAGGGCACGAATCAGACCCGTGGGCCTGGTGTCCGTTCACTCAGAACCGACGTCATTCACACCCTGGCTTGTCTGCTTCTCGGCTGGAGCCTTTCGGAAACGGCGCCCGCTGCTCGTCCTTCTTGACTCGCAGACGGACTTTCTGACGACAGGAGTCCCTCAGCAGATATGCATGTAAAAGCACAGCACCCTGAAGAGTGTCTCTGTCTTCTCCTTTCAGATTCCCAGCTCCCCATCGACATCTCCTCCGTTAAAAGAGATCATGATTTCCTGGACAAGGACCTGGTAGAGCCTCTCTGCCGGTAAGGATGTGAGCAAAACAAGGGTTACGAGCTCATGTGCGTCAGCGTCGGTTGCGTCCGTTTTGGGCTAAGAGACAGAGGTGGGAGGTGTGGGAGGGGGTGCCGGATTTGTGGATGTCCCCCCACATTCCTTCAAGTGCCATGTATGTGCCGGCTGTCATTCGAACCCGTTCCCACGACCCAACTAGAATTTTACAGCTGTGGATTTCATTAGAAACCATTACTGCAGAATTAGCTGAAAGTATTCTCGAAAAAGATATCAGAATTCAAAGTGAATAAATGTCCGAATGACTGTGGACTGTTCTATTAATTCCATTTGTCCAGCCTCTAACTGCTTATGCTGGTCAGGGTCGTGAGGGGGGGAAGGGAGAGTGGAGTGGGGGCTGTAATTGTAATTGTAATTGTAATTGCGTATATTAAAACAAATATGACGCTAATCAGTGACATTTTTCAGGATATGACGCTTATCACTGAAATCCAAGGTAACCAGAGGATGGAAATTGGCTATTAGATGATTTGTTTTCCTGTGAGAAATTTGATCTTTTTATGTTACAGGAATGTGTATTTTCCCTTTTACTGTATGACTAATTTCTCTCTGCCCATTATTACGTCTGTATCTGCCGACAGAGTACTGCGGTGTTAGAGAAATAAAACATTTAAAGGCATTTATCTGGAGCTTAAATTTCTGTGGCAAGAATCCAAATCAGTATTCCCAATGTGAAAACAGGGTGAAGTGGCCAAGGTTTTTGAGGAAACGGTCCACAAGGGGGCGCACTTTACCTTTGCGTTAGCCATTCCCCGAGTTCCGCACATAGCAGACTGGGCAGGGGGCCGGGAAGGCTCTGCACTTCCAGCTTATCGGTGTGACTCCTCTCTTCATGCTGCCCCCGAGGTGTGAGATGAGAGTCCCTACCTCGTCCACTTACTGGCATAATCAGTGCCCTTGCCCAAGCCAGATTCGTGACCCCCAGCACCTCATGGCATCTTTCTCTTTGATCTCAACCTGCTCCCTCTGCCTGACGCTCTGATCTGGGATTCAAAGGACCATGTGGCCCCAGGGAAGCCGTGGCAGGAGTTTAACAGATGTCGAGCCTGTAGGCAGGAGCCCCCCCCCCCCATCTATACAGAGCCCCTGCCCCTCTGCATCAGGGCTGCCCTGTGCAGTTATTCCCCTCTGTGTCCCACCCCACATTTTCAGTTTGAACATCCTTTCGGCAGTTGAATGAAATTTGCAATGGTAAAAGGACACAGTCCGACCAGCAAACGCAGTACTTTAGCCAGATTCAGTCAGTCACTGTTCTTGTATTCAATTAGCGTGGGATGATGTGTTTTTTTTTTCCTTACATGTTACAAGGAATAATAACAACAGGAAATTGCTGTTGGTGTTGTAGGAGATTTTGGGGTGGGGGATTGGCTGGAGTTGACTGAGTTCACTGGGGAGGTTTGCCAGGGGGCGTGTTTTAAGGAAAAGCAGCTGTTCCAGAGAGATGCCACCTGGGATTTGTGCCCCTCGAATCATGGGCGTTTTTTGATGAGTTTAAACGACTTGTGATGTCACTGTGATGTGAGTGTGATGGTTTGGGGGAGGGGGAGGGGGAGGGGCCAGACTTCACTCCCGTCGTGTAAGGCAGCCTGAGCAGAATGTTGGAGTAGAATTCTCCGGTGTTGACATCACAGAGGGGGCGGAACCTTGCCTCCCCTGTCGTCCTTGGGCCCCAGGATAAACAGTGTCACTGAACCCCAGCCGCCAAGCTGCCGGCAGCCAATCGGATGGCACGCAGCCCAGGGCGGCAGACCACTTAGCCGCCCCTGTCGGGTTTAGGCGCAGCAGAACACAGAGAGCCTGCATTACGAGGGCCTGGCTTGCTCTAGGGGGCTTTTCAGAAAGCAGGAGGACTATGCAAGGAACCGAGCGAAGTGGACAGGAATGGGCTCGATCGTCTACCAGGCTGAACATGCTCACTGTCTCTCTTCCAGACGACTTAACACCTTGAACAAGTGCGCCTCTATGAAACTGGACGTCAGCCTTCCCAAGAAGAAAGTAAGTGCAGATCTACCTGACTCTACTGCATAATGATTTATGGTCCTGTTGAAGAGGTCATGCTGTGATTTTAACAACATGTGTTCTTCTCCAGTTTGGAAAGTAAATATAGTGGTTGTTCTTGCTGAGAGATTTGTTGTGGGTAGAGTGGGCAGCCCAGCCCGTTACCCAGTTAGGCCTACAGATGTCCTTCCACCTCTTTGCTATCTCTGCAATCTGAAGTTGGTTCTTTCTCCAGAAAGGCTTGCTCTTCATGAGGTTAATTTGAGTGTCAGGTTTCCGCCGCAGCTGTGATGGCCGGGCTTAGAGAGGAATACTGATGTCTGGCCTCCTGGGAAGTTCTGGAACATTAACGTGCTGTCGGGCTTCTGAAGGTTCTTAAAACAAGTGCTTTGGCCATGTTTCATTTCTGATGTGGTGGGGGGGGGACGAGGGGAGGGCGACATCTTGGCCCCTGGGCCTTTTATCCTGTTAAACCAGTTTGGAGGACACTTAAGAATTTTTCCATTGTTATGTCTAAGTTGATTTTGTGATCATTGCCTCTGTTTTTTTTGGCTGCAGAATGTTGGTTTGGTTGGATTTATTACAATGCTTGGGTGGGTGTATTACAATCAGTGTTGGGCATTTCAGACCCAATAACTACAAATCCAGACCAATATTTTGTTTCTACCAGCCATTTGAAGAGTCATAAAAGAGTCACAGTCACAGAGTACTCAACTGGTTGGTAGAGACAAAATCTTTCGGGACCTGAAACACTGATTACAAAGGATGTGATCTTTTATGTAAGGATGCCCTGTTCCTTCATTTCTGCTGTAATGCAGCACATAGTTTTAAAACCCCAATTAGCAGAACGATCAGTCTGAAATTACCCACAACCACATACCTTATTATACAAAAACAGACAGGGCTTGACTCTGGTTTTCTTGTCTAAGTACAGCCAGAGCTGGGATATGATTTGTTGCTTATTTTTCATTATGTCGCCTCTCTGTGGGTCATAGTCGGTTCACAGTGCTTAATGGAAGTCCTCTGTGAAAAGTGTACTCCCATAACCACTGGCCGTTTGAGGGAAGCATTTTGACCACTGTGCTGCCACTCACAGCAGTTACCATGGTAACGTTTCCCATCAGTATTTCATAGCCCTGCACGACCTTGACCGCCAGACCCATGGGGTTGCAGTAGATGTTGACTGTGCAGTAGGAGCCGCTGGAGAAACTGTACTGACCCTTAGCCTAGTTTGAGTTTGACTTTGCACTCTTAAGCTCGTTATTTGTTTCTGTTGTTGACTCAGCGGTTGGAAAATATACTGTTGCTGCTAATTATGTGACTGAGGTATGTAGGATCAGATGACCATCAACTCAACTTACATCTGACCACATTTCTTTCACTTTCCTTGGAAAAAACCTACAGAGCGAAGACTCAGATGAAGAGGATCAGTTGGCGATCAGCAACCGATGGACGTTTGAGTGGAGCAGTCGGCGGTGGTCGAGGCTGCAGGACATCGACTGCATCCTGGAAGGCGAGGAGGGGGCGTGTCCCAGAGGCCTGGAGGCGGAGCTACAGGGGGCAGGCAGTCGGGAGAGCGTGCTAACAGACCTGAGCGAGCCCGAGGTGTCGTCACTGCACAGTGGGAGCAGCGGCGGCAGCAGGAGTGGAGATCTGGCCACCCTGAGGCCTGCTCGCTCCGCCTCGGCCTCCATCATGCCCGACCCCAGCTCTTTGGCACCGTCCCCAATGTCTGACGACCGGCTACGGTACAACTCTCTGCCCTCCAAAAGCAGCCGGCATGGCCGGACACGCGCCAAAGACTTCCTGCGCCGCATGGAGACGTTGCGTTCCCGGCGGTCCTCGTCAGGGAAGGCTGCCCGCAAGACCCTGACCATCAGCGGGCCTGTCCTTCAGTACGAGCCTGAAAGCCTCCGTGCACTGCAGTGCGTAGAGATTGCCAACGGGGACGTGGCTGCGCCGGAGGTAAACGGGAGCAGCGGCCTGCACTCCCAGTCCAGCAGCAGCACCAGCAGCACACCCAGCCTGAAACCACAGCGGGCCCTCCACAAACGCAGTGGCGTCTACCTGGAAGACCTGGATGTGCTCGCTGGCGCCCCCGTGAGGAAAACTGCCGAGCAAGGTCGCCGGAGCGAGTGCCGCTCCTATGAGGACCTGGTGGTGCACGTCCCCAAGGACCACAAGCCGGGGACCTTCCCCAAGGCACTTTCCGTAGAGAGCCTGACGCCCACCCCTGGCACCGCCATGAGCTCCGGCTGGCGGCCCGATGTCCGGCAGCACCGGGACCTGGCTCCTATCTCCCGGCTCTGTCCACGGGGCAGCCGCGCCAGTGTCTACGACAACGTCCCCAGTTCCCACCTATATGCCAGTACCGGGGACCTGATGGACCTGGAGAAGGAGGACTTGTTCCCACAGCTGGACGACATCCTGCAGCATGTCAACGGCCTGCAGAGGCTGGTCAACAACTGGTCCCGGAGCGTCCTGCCTGATGGTGAGGCCCGGCGCAACTCTGCTAGCCAGGTCACACTGGACGGCGAGGGGAGCTCGGCGTTGGAGGGCCGGACCACACCCAGTGACCTGGACAGAGACGCCATTTCACTTAATGACACGGACTCCAGTGGGACGAGGGAGAGGAGGGATTCTGGCGTCGGGGCCTCGCTCACCAGACCTAGCCGGTGAGTGGTGGTCAGTCATGGATCCGCTTGCCTAACTGACATGTTGACATGTCACTTGTCAGTGTTGTCATTTCCTGTTTGACGCCCACATGCACACATCGAAGTTCAACCCCCTTCCATGTCCGCAGCCTGCGGTGGCCCAGCTTCAGGATCTCCTGCCACCTCGACCAATCCGGTGCCTCATTGCAGATCAACAGCCAATCAGTAGGCCAGCTCTGCTTGCTGCAGAAGTTCTCACTCCTGCGCCTCACTGCCATCATGGAGAAATACTCCATGTCCAACAAACATGGATGGACCTGGTGAGTCAGACTAGTGTGATTGACGTGAAGTGATGTGTAGCTCGGTGTGTTAAGACGCTGTGCCTGTGATCAGAAGGTTGCAGGTTTACATCCCATAGTTGGCAGAGTGGTTTTACTGTTGGGCTTTTGAGCAAGGTCCTTAACCCCCAGTTGCTCTAGGGATTGGCTGAGCCGTCTGCTAAATATTTGGAAGTTGTGGCAGGGCAGAGTTCGGGCTGGAATTAACAGGAGAATAGGAGAGAGACAAATGGGTTAATTATCCATACAGGAACATAGAAGGATTTCAAGGTTTCCCTCTGTGTGGGGTTTTGACCTCATCTAGCTTCTGATTCACATCTCACCCCCGTGCATTCACTGATGAACGTTTGCAGTTGTGCTGACATCATCCAGCAGAACATTCTGTACCTGGTGCCCTCTTGTGGAGATTGTTGGGAGTGCCTCACACAGCTTAGCTTCCACCTTCTGACTCGACAGACAGGGAGCTTGTGTGTGTGTGTGTGTGTGTCTGTGGGTGTGTGGATCCTCCTGCCTGTGTGTGTGCGTGCATATACACACTATATACATACACTCCCCAGGTTACGATGGGGTTACGTTCCAACAAGCCTATCGTATGGCGAAAATATCATAAAGTGAAAATGCATTTTAATACAGTGCACCTAACCTAACAAACACCATAGCCTAGCCTAACCTACCTTAAACATGTTTAGAACACTTACAATACCCGACAGCTGGGCAAAATCATGAACACAAAGCCTGTTTTATAATAAAGTGTTGAATATCTTCAATAATTTGCCCGTCGTGAAAAAAATATCATAACACGGACCATTGTCCCCGGGTATGCCTGTTTCTGTTATTTTTATTTTGCCTGTTGTTTGGCATGCGTCTGTAAACACTTGGGGAAGTGGCTGTGAGTCAGTGCCTCACTGCCTGAGTATGTGTATTAGGGAGATTGTCAGGCCCCCCAACGCCACATAAAGACGGCCTACAGGCCTCGTTTTCCATTTTACCTTTTTTCATTAAGGCTCATAAAAACAGACTGTCTGGACACCTAGGGGGCTATCTGGAGGCCTGGGGTCAGGCAGGGTGGGGAGGAGCGCCGGCCCTGGATGGAAGGGCTGCTGTCTGAGTTCCATAAACACACACTTTCACGTAGTTAAACACAGTCTTTTAAACGTGACACCGTCTGCGAGAGAACACAAGAGGAAGAATGAGCGTGACAGGGCCCTAGTGCTCACTGTGATATAATTCTCTAAAGACCTCCGTCACCCTTAGGTCGGTGCCCAAGTTCATGAAGAGGATGAAGGTGCCGGACTACAAGGACAAAATTGTCTTTGGGGTCCCGCTGATCATCCATGTGCAGCGGTCTGGGCAGCCATTGCCTGTTAGCCTGCAGCAAGCCCTGCATTACCTAAGGAGCCAGTGTCTAGACCAGGTGAGTCCCGTGTCCAGCACAGAACTGCTGCAGCAGGCTCCTCCTTCATTTCTGTTTAATTTAATTTATTTCAGCTCAATTCAGTTAATTTCATTTCAATTCAATTTAGCTTCTATTCAGTTTAGTTTAGTTCCATTCAATTCAGTTCTGTTCAGTTTAGCTTTGTTCAGTTCAGTTCTATTCAATTCAATTTTCTTTTCATTTCATTCCATACAAGAGGACAAAGGAACAAGAGGCTTTTCCTGGGGTCACAAAACCCAAAGAGAGTGGCAGCATATAGGGAAAAATAACAAAAAGAGAGTAACAGTGCAGTGTGGTGTCAAAATACATTATATGTACAGTAGCAGGGGCATCATTATGCCTATTTTAGGGGGCTTTAGCTGCCATAAAATGTTTTTAGCCCCCCCATAAATGTGTATTTGTTGCCTTAAGACATGAGTAGCTTTTTTATATTATATTT